AGCGCATACGCTCAGAATATGTGTGACAATGTTCCTCAGTGACAATGACAATCTTCATGATTCTATTGTCTTCTGATGTTACTTCTGCGGTCTTCTCATGTAACAGCTCCCAGAAATCATCCTTATCCTGGTCAGAACATCCAATCTGAGATACATAGCGCATACGCTCAGAATATGTGTGACAATGTTCCTCAGTGACAATGACAATCTTCATTAATTGGTCGTTGAAGCGTTGTACTTCAGCAACTGAATCTCGGAATTGTTGCGAGACAATAATTCTTATGGCACTTCTGGTCTTTGAGCTGCCGTTGTAGATGACCCTCAAGCATTAATCAGTGTCCTTTGCCCTGCTACTGGACCAATCTTGTCTCTTGGAGCGCACATTGATCGATACGACGACGTTCAAGTGTGACAGCCAACTTGCACAAGCGATTGTCAATGTCCCTATGTTTAGCGTTGCTATGCGAGTTTTAATAACATTGTGGGATTTTTGGACTAAATTAATTGTTCTAAGATGCTCTTGAATCAGAGATCCCTTGCATACCTTCTCTATTCATTGAGCTTTGTAAGTCAGTTCCTGCAGGTACTGTAGTTTTTATAAGATGCATGAGTCACTATTTTTTATATAATATGACATTGGTCATCAAAGTTGGCCCGTCATAGAAAGGCCTATTGGCAGACTCAGTGAAACATAACCGGCTAGTAAAATGTAAAAGCAATTTTAAAAAATTTGAATAATTAATTTTTATATTTTCATATCTTTTTTGAACTATTTTTTTTTTGCAATTATCTTTTTTGTTTTATTATCAAACAAAAAATATTTTATATGTTTCTCTTTTTTTCCTTTTTTCTTTTTTTTTTTTTTTAACATTTAAAAAATTTTTGTTAGTAATAAATATTGGATGTAAAATAATAACCTGTGCATAATTGAGGAAGAATAATTGATCATGTGTTAAATTAACACCTGGTAAGAGTAAATATTGTGGATATTTGTGAACATATTTTTTATATGCTTTATATGCTTGCTTTAAACCACCATTATCAGCTATATTTTCACCCTGTAATAATAATTGATATCATTTGATAAGATTTTGATTACTAAAAAAAAAAAGAAAAAGTTTTATGGAATGATTACTTGTATTTAATAAAGGCTTTATTGAGAGAAGAAAAAAAAAAAGTTCCTGGAAATAAGTTTAACTATTTCAAATAATATATTATTTATGTGATCAATATATTACTTAATCTCATATACTATTAATAAATATTAATTGACATAGAGCAATATATTGATCATCTTTTCTTCTGCAAATAATTGAACAATGATCAATATATTTATTACTTAATTTTATATACTAATAATAAATATTAATGAATATTAATTGACATAGAATAATATATTGATTATCTTTTTCTTTTTTTTTTTTTTGTCAAATAATTGAACAATGAAATATTATATAATTCTTAATTCATATTAATTATTAAATGGTATTTGATTAAAAGATTCTTAACAGAATTTAATGGGAAAAAAAAAATTTTTTAGCAAAACAAACTTTTGTACTACGACCATTAACTTTCATGCCAATTTGTTCAAGTATAAAAGCTGAATATTGATCTTCGATGCATTTTGTTTTAATTTCAAATTTTTCAATTGTCGCATTATCCCACCATTGTCGAATATTGCCATATTTATCATACAATCGTCCTATATATTACATTTAATATTTTATATAAAGAAATTATCATTGATTAGTTTAAAAATTAGCAAAAAATTTTAATTATTATAATGTATGCTAGTTTTTTTTCTTTAATTTAAATTTCAACGATACATTTGCAATTATAACAAAAGTAAATATTGATATTGATAAATTTTAACAATGATAAACATTATAAAAAAAAAAAAGATTATACTTATTATAAATGAGAGAAAATAATTATGATGAAGATTTTAATTTTATAAAATTGTTAAAATTTAAAATGGATCAAACTTAATTTTTTAGCTTAATCATTATTTTGCATTTTTCTTTTTTTTTTTTCAACCTTAAATATTACATTTGAAAAGCTTAATTTCAAATCCAAAATAAATTATGACAAAAAAAAATTTGTAACAAAAATTATTTCCAAATTAAATTTTTGGTTTTAAATTTTTAACTAAAATAAAAATAATAAAATTTATCAAAATTTTTTTACATCTATTATCAAAGTTTAAATTTAAGCTTACATTATCGATTTATCTATCATCCTTTATCATATGTATGAAAAAATCGATAGAATTTTTAATTTCTGGTTGAAATTTGATTTTTTTTTTTTGAAACTTCCTAAACATTACCAAATTAAATTTGAATAATAGTTAAGATATGAATAAGAGAATAAACATAATGTAACAATACCTCGATCATCAAATCCATGTGTAATTTCATGGCCAATTACAACACCAATACCGCCAAAATTCATTGAACTTGGAAAATGTTTATGATAGAAAACCGGTTGCAAGATGCCAGCCGGAAAAACTGAATTTTTTTTTAAATCAAAAATCAAATTATTTTTTAATTAATTTTTAATTAAAATGAAAAGACTGTCAAAGATATTCATCATTTTTTTGAATAATTAAAAAGAAAAAGTTAACTAGTAGAAGTCGTGCAGTGAAAAAACAAAAAAAAAAATTCCAATTAGAAATGAAATTTGAATAAATCGAATAGTGTAGTATAAAGGATAGGTCAATATATCGGTTGAATATGATCATATCATTGATATGATCATATCATTGTTATCATATCACTCATAATACTTTATGAAAAGTTTTCCATACAATTGTATGGAAAATGATAGAAAGCTTTCTGTATGATAGAAAGCTTTCTACAGTTAACAGAAAAAAGTGACAGGAAAAAAAATGGTTTAAAATAATAAAATATGATGAAAAATTTAATATATTTTCCTGCATAAATTTCAAATTTTTACAAAAAATTCAAAATTTATTTCAACCATTTTAAATTTACAAATAAATATAACTTTACATCTAATACTTACTTATCTCATTCGTATTTGGGCTATAGAAAGCATTTACAAGTGCTGCTCCAGCTACCCATCTGAAAAAAAAAAAATTTGTTTTAAACATTTTAAATTATTTTGAAATTAAAATTTTGTATGATTGTTAGTTTTTTAACTATTTAATTTACATGTTTTTTCATTACAAATTTAACTTTTCAAAGGATAAATTCAAAAAGTTTTAAATTACTTGGTAAGGTAATATAAAACATTTTTAAATTTATACGATTAATAACAATAAAAAAAGAATTTTAATTAAGCACAATTTACATTATTTAATAAATTTAAAATTTCGATCTTAAATTTACATGATTAATGACATATGAAAAGCTCAAAATTGCATAACTTGCAAAGTTACTTTTCGGTAATAATTTCTTTTCTTTTTAGCTTTAAACAGGAAATCAAATATTTTTTTTTGCATTAAAATAGGAAATTAAAAATGGTAATAAAATTTATCGAAATAATTTAATTGGAATTGAGCAAATGCTACCTTTCACGATCAACTTTCTCACTGATACGCTCCAATACATCCTTCTGATACATTTGATAAAAGTGAAATTTTGTTTTATAATAATTACCATCATAAACAATGTAATTTTGATATTCATTATCGACTAATTTTGAATCATCCAAATAATTTGGATAACCAATTTTTTATTCATTGCATCAACCTGAAATATTAGACAATACAATATCATTTATTACATTAATTGATTATATTAAATGATATTAAAATTTAAGATAATTTAAAATATGGCCCAACTCATTAACCTAGAATTAACATTAAATGGTCTAATTTAATTGTTCACTTATCATCATCCTATTTTTATGTAATAATGCTTTTGATATCTATGTTATCATGATTAGTTTAAATATGAAAAAGAAAAACAAATATAATTTACTTTTAAATATTTTAATTAACAAAGTATTAATTGCGTATCATTTTTTTTTGATTTAATTTTTGTTTGATCTTTGAATTATTAATTTTTCATTGGTTGATTAAAAATGAATGAAAAGTTTTAATGATTAATACTTTTTCTTTAGCAAATCCTTTTGCATGCTCAGTTAGCCAATCTTCAGTTTGTAACATATCCACAAATGCCGCCATTATTAAATCAATCATTTCTTCCACCTAAATAAAATTCCATTTAATTTTTCAAATTATTGATTACCATTATTTTCCATTGTTACTTACTATTATTAATCATCGTTATTTTTCATCATTATTATTATTGTTATTTATTATCAATTCGCATTATTACTGTTGTTATTACCATTATTATTGTTATTACTATTATTATTATTATTATTATTATTATTATTATTATTATTATTATTATTATTATTATTATTATTATTATTATTATTATTATTATTATTATTATTATTATTATTATTATTATTATTATTATTATTATTATTATTATTATTATTATTATTATTATTATTATTATTATTATTATTATTATTATTATTATTATTATTATTATTATTATTATTATTATTATTATTATTATTATTATTATTATTATTATTATTATTATTATTATTATTATTATTATTATTATTATTATT